GACCCATTTTTCTGAAGAAGGGTCTAGGCCCGAAACGTCAGCCTTCCTGCTCCTCTGACGCTGCTTGGCCTGCTGTGTTCATTCAGCTCTGCACCTTGTTATCTCAGATTCTCCAGCATCTGCAGTTCCTGCTATCTCTATCCAGATGCATCATAGCTTGGTATGACAACTGCTCTGCCCAAGACCATAAAAGGTTACAGAGTTATGAACGCAGCCTAGTCCATCATGCAAACCAGCCTTCCTTCCACGGACTCCATCTATACTTCCTGCTGCCGTGGAAAAGTAGTCAACATAATCAAGGACCCCTCCCTCCTGGTTAGGTTCTCTTCCACCAGGCAAAAGATACAAAAGTTTGAAAACACGCACCAAAAGATTCAAGAACAGCTTCTTCCCCACTGTCGTCAGTCTTATGAACGGACCTCTCGTACATTAGAACTGATTTTTCTCTGCACCTTCTCTGTCGCTGTAACACTATATTCTGCATTATGTTCTATTACCCTGATGTACGTATATAGGTATGTTTTGTCCAGTTAGCACACAAAACAATACTTTTCACTGTGTTATCACATGTACCGAGATAATAAATTAAATCAACCCTTGGGGATGATTTATTTGATTTCATCCTTAAATCTACTTGTTGCAGATGCATCTATTCATAACATCATTGGAAGGACTGATCATCACACTATCCTTGTGGAGGTCATGAAAAGATGAAAGCTGTGTGATTTATATACTTTATACATCATGTTTAGGGGTTCGATTTCAAACTATTGCTTACTTTTGTTTAGGGCCTTTTTCAAAAAAAAGGCTAAATTAGTCAAAAATAAAAAGAAAGAAGTGTGGATGCTAGAAATCTAAAACAAAAACAGTAATTGCTGGAGTAACTCAACAAGTCTGACAGCATCTCTGGAGGGAAAGCAGTATTAATGTCTCAGCTCCAGTGGCACTTCTTCAGAACCTTTTTGAACCAAATTAGTCAGTCAGTCTTTCTGGAACACTGATCTAATCCAGTAGGTGCCATCAGACAGCAAGAACCCCTGAAGCGTTCATGGAAAGTTGTTAATGTTGTGCTGGGTTTACTACTAGGTGTGTGAAAATTAACGACATTAAATTGTTTTTTGTTCAGAATAATCAAGGAACAATTATAGTTTCGGAGAAGATTATTCTAACATATTATAAAACTTATGAAGTAAAACAACTAAAATTTTGGTACTTTATTGAACGTTTTTGTATTATTATTCCATTGCTTTCTGCCTTTCTCTCTCGACAATTTTTGGAAATAAACTGATTTTCCCAGTTTTGTTATGTCCAATTATCCCTATTACAGTATCAACACTAATCTGACACAGCTTCCCAATGCAACGGTCTGAAAAATCCAGACAGGGTGAGCACAGGAGTTGGGACATGTTGCAGCTGTACAAGACACTGGTGAAGCCACTTTTCAAATACTATGTGCAGTTCTGGTCTCCGTGCTACAGGAAATATGTTGTCAAGCTTGAAAGGGTTCAGAAAAGATTTACAAGGATGTTGCCTGGGTTGATGGTTTGAGCAATGAGGATAGGCCGACTCTTTTTTCCCTGGAGCTGAGACTGAGGGGTTGGTCTTTCAGAAGGTTATAAAATCATGAGGAGCATGGATAGGGTAAACACCCATGGTCCTCTTCCCTGGGTAGGGGATTCTCAAAACTAAAGAACATTGGTTTAAGGTGAGAGGGAACAATTTAAAAGGGACCTGAGGGGCAAAGTTTTCATGCAGAGGGTGGTGCATATAAAGAACGAGGTTCCATTCTGCCGCCCGGTGTCTGTGTGGGTTTCCTCCCACAGTCCAAAGATGTGCAGACCAGGTGGATAGGCTATGCTATATTACACGTAGTGTTTAGGGATGTGGAGATTTCGTGGGTTATAGGGGGTTGGGTCAGTGTGGACTTGTTGGGTCGAATAGCTGGTTATGGGCAGCACGGTAGCTCAGTGGTTAGCACTGCTGCCTCACAGCGCCAGAGACCCAGGTTCGATTCCACCCTCGGGTGACTATGTGGAGTTTGCACATTCTCCCCGTGTCTGCGTGGGTTTCCTCCCACAGTCCAAAGATGTGCAGGCTAGGTGGTGTGGCCGTGCTAAATTACCCATAGTGTTCAGGGATGTGTAGATAAGGTGCGTTATAGGAGGATGGGTCTGGGCGGGATGCTCCGAGGGTCAGTGTGGACTTGTTGGGCCAAAGGGCCTGTTTCCACACTGTAGGGATCCCATGAAATGGGACTAGGTCAGATTGGGGCGTCTGGTCGCTCAGACGAGTTCGACCGAAGGATCTGTTTCTATGCTGTATAACTCTAGAATACCTGGAGCTCCAATGAAACTAGTTCGATAGTAAATACAATCCCATGTGAGCCGACTCCACCTTATAACATCGATGTACATTGGTAGACACTAAAAATCCCGTGGAATATAGGTAGTTTGGTTAGTCACTCTGTCCTCTTCACATTTAGTTCCGATTTAAGATTAGGATTAATATCAATTATCACCTCTTTGACTTTCTCCCGGTGGCTCCTCACGTCTTGATCTGCCAGCTCTGTTCCTTCCTCCAGCAGTGGCTGATAGCGGATGTTGCTGGCGTCCAGCACCTCCACCCCGTTCTCTGAATCCCGAAGGCTATGCTCTCTTTCCGTTACCTCCTGGCGGATCTGCGCCGACACTGACTCTTTAACGAATCGGTCGTTCTGTCTTCGCCGAACGGGACCAACGTGCGTTCCTGTCTGCTTGTACCGAGAGCCCGCAGCGGCCCCAGACCCCGCTCCCACTGCCAGCCCGAGTCCGCTCCCTGCACTGTCTGTACGCTGCGGCTCGGAGGGCAACAAGAAGAAGCGACGGAGGCGAACGGAGTCCGGTAGAAAGAAGATGGCCCCGAAGCACACAGTGACCAAGGCACTGAGCAGGATCAGGAAGACGAACCGCCTGGAGAGGCGAACACCCCCGAAGCGACCGCCCAGCCCCAGACCGGACCCTGAACACAGCTTTCGGATCATCAGCTCAACAGGGCAAAGTGATGTGGAGGTGCAAATAGTGGAGGTGGGTCCCAAACCCCAACGGGATCTTCTTCAAAGACAACCCCGCCAAAAAAAAAACTGCCTTCAAACCCCCAGCAGTCTCGGCCCTTTCACCACCCCCACCCAATCCCCTCTCTGTGGGGCTCAGTACTGGTCTCGAGATGCACAGCCTCACTATCCCGCGCTCCGCTATCTCACGAGTGACCGTTGGCCTCAGTCCGCTGGCGCCGTGTTTTTCTCCCGTCACAATCGCTTACACACGGCGCCGGAAATCCCGCCCCCGCCTCCGCCTCCATCATTAGTCACCATTGTTGTCAATTTAGATAACATACAGGCAGTCGAGCGGATCACGGAAATGCAGTCAGATACCCGGAAAAAAACATCTGAAATGCCACTGTTCTTCAGAACTACCGGGCTGGAGTATACACGGAAGGAAACGTTAATGGAGCTAGGCGCAGCGGTGAGAAAACAGCAGTACTCTTAAAAAGGGAATAAAGCGGGAAAGAGGAGGGAAGTCACAAGAATAAAATGAGAGAAAGGGATGGGGCGGAGACAAAGGTCTCTTTCTGCAACCTTAGACATGTTTGGTCACACAATTCTTTTCCATGTTGTCCAGTTGGATGAACTGCTCTTGCTTGAATAATAAAAACGACTGCGGGTGCTGGAGATCTGAAGCATAAGTAGAAATTGGCTGGAGAAACTCAGCGGGTCTGGCAGCATCTGTGGAGAGAAAACAGTTAACATTTCGACACCAGTAACCCTTCAAAATTGCTCTTGCTTCGGTCTATATCTAATCCTAGACAGCGTGTCATCTACAATGCTTCTCTTCCTGTTCTGGCATCCCCTAAGGATCTAGACTTGTCCTATGCTCCCACCCCCAATTTTCATCTGCTTTCAGCAATTTGGCGACACCATTACACGGTGTCTGCTTTTACGTGCATGCTGAAGATCCCCAACTCTGCCTCACCTGTGACTCCATAGTAAATGATTGATTAGACTGCTTGCCCAACCTGCCAACGGTCTATATGGCTGAATCAAACTGTTCACAACGTTTGAAATCATATTTGACCCTGAGATGAGCGTCCAGATACACATTTGTGTCATTACCACGACTACCTACTTCCACCTTCAAATCAGCATCTAACTCTGTTCCTGCTTTCAAGTCATCTGCTGCTGAAAACTTTCATCTATGCCTTTGTGGTCTCAAGACTTGACTGTTCCAACACACTCTGAGTTAAGCTTCCACGTTCTACTCCTTATAAACTTGACATCCCAAAACTCTGTGTACTTGTACCAAGACATGTTCACTTACTACTCCAGTGCTTACTGACCTACATATAATCATATGTTAATTTTTATTCCTCCTTTGCTTTTCCCTTCACCATCTTTATTATTTCCCCAAGACTCACAACTCTCCAAGATATATGCATTTTTTTCGTTATTCATCGACTGAGGGCGTAGCTAGCGGCACTTATTGCCCAGAGGGCAGTTATGAGTCAGCCACATTGCTGTGGATCTGGAGTCACATGCAGGCCAGATCAAGAAGGATGGCAGTTTCCTTCCCTAAAGGACATTAGTGAACCAGATGGGTTTTTCCAACAACCAGCAATGGAATCATGGTGATCATTAGACTTTTAATTCCAGATATTTATTGAATTCAAATTCCACCAGCTGCCGTGGCAGCGCTCGGACCCAGGTCCCCAGAACATTACCTGGGTCTCTGGATTAACAGTCCAGCGATAATACCACTAGGCCATTCCGATAATTCGAACCTCTTCAGCATTGCTTTAATTACCTCAGCCCCAATCTCTGAAGCTTCTAAATCTCTGTGTGACTCGTGCCTTCTTTGGAAATCACCTTAAAACCTATCTTGTTACAACACATGGATAGCAAGCCAAACAAAATCAGCCTCATTATCACTGGATTCGCAACACAGTGAAATTAAAATATACAATGATCCTCAAAATGGCTCAATTGTTCCTAACCAGGTTTTACAAATAATACATCTTGGACACCAAGTTTATAACAAACAAAATTGAATGATTTATTATTAATAATGTAACTTTAGTGGAATACAGGTAAACAACAAGACAATCAAATTAATATCGACCATCTGAAGCCCAATCTTCTTTAATCATAACCCCACTCTCAAACAGTTACAGTTAAGGGTTTATTCTGAAAAAGCAAATAAAGAATTACAATTTGTAAATTCAATCAAATGTGCACTGGACATGGACTGCAGTTGTTCAAGAAGGCAGCACACCACCACCTTCACAACAGCAACAAGGGATGAAAAATAAATACTAGCTAACCAATGACGCCTACATCCCATGAGTGAATGGTAAAAAAAACAGTTTTAAACAATTGGTAGGAGGCCTTCATGAGATCCTTGGACGAGAGGTCGTTGACAGGTAAGCAGAACTGTATATCTTGCTTGAATTGACCAGTCACCAGTCAATATAAACAGTTTCAACAGACTTCTTGAAATACTTACTTCTTACAGAGATAGTAAGAACTGCTGATGCTGGAGTCAGAGATAACACAGTGTGGAGCTGGAGGAATACAGCAGGCCAGGCAGCATCAGAGGAGCAGGAAAATTGATGTATCGGGTCGGGACCCTTCTTCAACTTTCCTGCGTCTCTGATGCTGCCTAGCCTGCTGTGTTCCTCCAGCTCCACACTGTGTTATCTCGTACTTCTTACAGACTGGGATTCTTTTCTCAGAGCATTCAACAATTTCATGACTGAAGAGAAACTAGAATCAAAACAAAACCAATCAACACCATCTCCGGAAGTCTCAAAAAGTCACACTGCCAGCTGCCAACCCAGCAAGAACTGGTTCTCTCTCGATTGACCAACATCCAAATTGCCAGCCATGAGCATAACAATAGCTCAGTGCCAATTCATCTTTGGATCAATAATTAAGTTGCATTATCTTTTGAGGTTACTTTCCAAAAGATAACATCTGTCTTTGTTCGCTCGTTTTTTGAAACAAGCTTCTGTTCAAAGTTAAAGGTTTAATTCTTAACTTCAACAAGACAGTTCTAAACCAAAAGACCCTAAGATCATAAGAAATAAGAACAGGATAGGCTGTTCAGCCCTAATGTTGCCTTTTGTTTCTGGTAACAAAACTTGCTTTATAACACACTGGTGAAGTGCTTTGAAACAGGGTTAAATAAAAGGTGCAATATAAATATAACTTGTTATTAAGGGAAGGAACAAGAAAGATAAGAAGGCTTAGGATGATAAGGAAAGAAATAAGTGATAGAGGTTGCCTCCACTGTATGGATAATCATTCAGACTGGAGATTGTTTTAAACTGTTAAAACCCCAATCTCGTGGTCAGGAAACATGATCACATTTCTAACTGGAGGTACTCATGCCCACATATTAAGTAAAGATAGATGAGAGAAGTTCCTTTACACATGCTTGAAGTTAGCATTCAGTTATTTTGCAAATGCAAATAAATTAGTCATAGAGATGTACAGCATAAAAACAGACCCTTCAGTCCAGACCCTTCTAGTCCCATATGCCAGCTTTTGGCCCATATCCATCTAAACCTTTCCTATTCACATACCCATCCAGATGCCTTTTAAATGTTGTAATTGTACCAGCCTCCACCACTTCCTCTGGCAGCTCATTCCATACACACGCCACCCTCTGCGTGAAAAAGTTGCCTGCCAGGTCCCTTTTAAATCTTTCCCATCTCACCTTAAACCAATGTCCTCTAGTTTTAAACTGCCCTAACCTGACTAAAAGACCTTGGCTATTCACCCTATCCAAGCTCCTCAGATTTCATAACCCTCTATATCACCCCATAGCCTATGACACTCCAGAGAAAATAACTCCAGCCTATTCAGCCTCTCCCTATATAGCTCAAACCCTCCAATGCCGGCAACATCCTTGTAAATCTTTTCTGACCCCCTTCAAGTTTTGCAATATCTTTCCTATAGCATGGAGATCGGAATTGAATGCAGCATTCCAAAAGTGGCCTAGTCAATGTTGTGTGCAGCTGCAACCTGACCTCTCAACTCCTACACTCAATGCACCGACTAATAACGGTAAGCCTACCAAATGCCTTCATCACTATCCTGTCTACCTGTGACTGCACTTCCAAGGCACTATAAACGTGCACTCCAAGGTCTTTTGTTCTGCAGCACTCCCCAGGACCTTACCATTAAGTGTCAAAGTCCTCACCTGATTTGCCCAACAAAATGCGGCACCTCACATTTATCTAATGACGCTTTTTGAAAAAAATTGTCCTCTTAAAGCACCCAGCGTCATCACCTGCAAAACGTAAATGCCATTTTGGAATGTGGAGTCAGGAGGAACAAGGATGAGTGCTACATTCATTTCTCCCATCCTGCCCAAATTGCTTCTGCTCCCATCCCCTTTGTTGCACATTCTGTCCTGACCTTCTGCCATGACAACCACTTCTCCCATTCCCTGACCATACTTTCTGATCCCTTGAGATATAGGAGCTCAAATTGCGTCCAGGCCTTTTGATTCTTTACCCAAACTCAGCCCTCACTATCCTCAACATAGACTGTGACTGCTTGATATTTACCCTACATCCCGATTTACGAATGTCCCATATTCCCTCACTTACTTATTACTGAACTTCCTATCTACACACCCACTCAATTCGTTATCTTGTGATACATTTATCAAACAGTTGCTGCAAAAGGAATGTCTTCAAGCCTTTCATCTTTTTAATTTATCCAGGCACATGAGGAGTCTATAGGTTCCTGTTGTTTTCTTCATGGCAGTGCCTCATTCATGTTCCAACCATTCAGCACTCTTACATTGAGTATTACTTGTTTGTGATCATTTGAAATTTGGCAGTCTTAAATTTGTCCTGATGAGTACAAGACTAAAGGTTTTGACAACGTGTCTCTATTTTCGTTAATGTATAATAAGTTCTGTCCTTGGTTGTTTTACCAAAATGCAATATCTCACATTTATCCAAATTAAACTCCATCTGCCTGTCCTCAACCCATTGACCCAAATGATCAAGATCTCTTTGTAATCTTAGATAACCTTCTTCACTGTCCACTATACCACCAATTTTGGTGTCATCTGCAAACTTACTAACCATACCTTCTATATTCTCATTCAAATCATTTATATAAATGACAAACAAAAGTTGACCTAGTATGATCCCTGTGGAATATTGCTGGTCACAGGCCTCCAGTCTGGTAAACGAGCCTCCATCACCACCCTCTGCCTCCTAAAAAGCCAATTTTGTATGCAGTTGGTGAGCTCACCCTGTATCCCATGTGATCTAGCTTTATTAGTTAGTTTACCATGCAGAACCTTGTTAAAGGATTTACTGAAGTACCCATTCATGAAAAGTGGTGAAGAATTAAACAATAAACCAGAAGAGGATGCTCCAAAATATTCCCGTTCAACACATTAGTGCAAAATCAAGACTGAAGTATTTGCATCAATGTTCACCATTCTAGGTGAAAAGTGGAGATGTTCACTGATGATCTCACAGTTTTCAGCACTATTCACAACTACTCAGATGTTGAGGTTGGTTGGCTCGCTGAGTAGGATTGTTGTTTTGCATTTCCATGGAGTGCCATGCTTCCAGGAATTTTCGTGCTTGTCTCTGCCTAGCCTGTCCCAGGATCTTGGTGTTGTCCCAGTCGAAATCGTGTGGATTGTCCATGTGGATTGAGATGAGTGAGTATTGGTCATGTCTTTTTGTAGCCAGTTGGTGTTCATATACTCTAGTTGTTAGTTTCCTTCCTGTTTGTCCAATGTAGTGTTTCTCACAGTCTCTGCAGGGGATCTTGTAGATGACATTGGTCCTGTCCACGGCGGGGAGTGGGTCCTTGGTTCGGGTGAGCAGTTGTCGTAGGGTTGACGTGGGCTTGTGTGCCACTCTGATGCCCAGCGGTCGTAGGAGTCTTGTGGTGAGTTCCGACGTGTTCCTGATGTAGGGTAGTGTGATGAGTGTGTCGGGGCATGTAGAATCTTCCTGTTGTTCATGTAGGCATCTTCTGACCCAGTTTTTTGGATATCCATTATCCTTGAAAACATGGAAGAGGTATTCTTCTGCCTCTTGGCGTAGTTCCATGTTGCTGCAGTGTGTTGTTGCCCTTTTAAATAGTGTTCGCACGCAGCTTCGTTTGTGTGTGCTGGGATGGTTACTGTTGAAGTTCAGTACCTGGTCTGTGTGTGTAGCTTTTCGGTGTACTTTCGTTTGCAGTTCCCCATTTGTCTTGCGCTCCGCCATGACATTCAGGAATGGGAGTTGTTTGTTCTTCTCCTCCTCCAGGTGAATTTTATTCCACGAAGCATGCTATTAATAAACACATTGAATTCGACCCCATATACATTCCACTACGAAGGAAAACCGGAAGTGAGGCAATCCATCTCAACGGACCCCAGAGTTTAAAAACCAGGTGGGAAAACACAACGACGCTTCATCAGAGGCTGCACTGCGGATGTTACCAAGCATGGGAACAAAATGTCTGCAAAACAACAAACCAGTTCGACGAGCCAACCAATCTCAACACCCACAACCCGACCTACAGATCTACTCCAAAACTACTCAGATACTGAAACAGCCTGTGTCAGTATCCAGCCAAACCTGGACAACATCCAGCCTTGGACTGATAAGTGGCATATAACGTTTGTGCTACACAAGTGCCAGGTAATGACTATCTCCAGCAAGAGAGAATCTAACCATCTCATTTGACAATCAATGGCACTACCATCACTTAATCTCTACTTTAACATGGTGGGGATTACTATTGACCATAAACTAAACTGTACCAATTATACAAATACTTTGGTTACAAGAGCAGGGCAGAGGCTATGAATTCTATGCAACTAACTTATCTGTCTCCCATTGCCTCCTCATCATCTACAAGTCAGGTGTTTAATAAGATATTCTCCACTTGCCTGAATGGGTGCAGATTCAATAACACTTAAGATGATTGACACCGTCC